ACAAAAACTTAAAAACAAACCAACTAAACTGGTGATATTCTTGAGTATTTTAAACATCTTACATCACTGGTTTGCACATGGAATCCTTTTTGAGTGTAAGTAAAGTTTTTGTGAATAAAGTTTTATTGGAAGACAAAAAAAAACAAATACGTGTGGGTGTGTAAAACTATATATATATATGTATATATATATATATACATATATATATATAGAGAGAGAGAGAGAGAGAGTTTAAAATAAAATAACTAGAGAGATGTCTCCAAAATTAAGAGCACTGAGCACTGTTTGCTCTTCCAGAGGACTCAGATTCAATTCCCAGCAACCACAAAAATAACTCACAACTGTCTGTAACTACCATTCCAGGGGACCCAATACCCTCATCTGGTCTCCACAGGCACCAGCAACACAAGTAATACACAAACATACATGTAGGCAAAACACTCATACACATAAAATAAATTTAATAATAACAACTTAGGAGTCGGGGAGATGGCTCAACCATTAAGATCACTTGCTGCTCTTGCAGAGGACCAGAGTTCAGTTCCCAGCACAAACAAGATGGTTTATAACCATCCATAAGTTCAGGTCCAAGGGATCTACCAACTTCTCCTGATCTCTGGGAGCACTAGGCACCAAGTGCGCATGTGACATACACACATTCATGCAGACATACAGTTAAAATGTAAAAACTCTTTTTAAAACATTTAAATGGTCATAATAATAATAATAATAATAATAATAATAATAATAATAATAATAGACATAAAGGAAAGAGAAGGGGGAGAAAAACAAAAGGAAAAGAAAAAAATTAAGGATACAAATACAAAACATGGGAAAGACACTCATGGAAATTAGTATTGTTAAAATGTTCATAGCACCCAAAGTAATCTACAAGTTCAATGTAATCACTATGAAAATTCTAGGGAAAAAAAATCCTAAAATTCAAAACAGTCCTTCCTTAATACAGATAGAAGCATCAGACTTAATTTCAAATTATATCATGTGCCTAATAAAAAAGTCTGATACTGGCATAGATCCACACATCTAGACCCACTGTGAACAAAATTGTCAAGAGCAAACAATGAGGAAAACGTCCTGTCCTTAAAAATGCTATTTCTTGCTCAAGAAACAAGCTGTTGGCCTCATCTGCTCTCCATTTGCCCAGCAGGACTTTCCCACACCCTTCAAGTCTCAGTTCCTCCATGAACCTTCTCCTTGTCAAATTAGGCCTTCCGTGCCCCAGGCTACAAAGACTCTCTAGAAACCTCTGTTGTAGCAACAACCATATTGGTATTCGCTGTAGACCAAGAGCTTCTTGAGGGAACAAAACTTGCCTTTTCATCTTTATATAACATGCCTAACTCTGTGCTAGAAATATACCCGCTGCTCAATAATTTTGTTGAAGAAAAATAATTAACTTTGGCCAAGTATATTAATAATATTTACAATGAAGACATACCAAATCAAAACCACAATGGCATATCACATGTCATGTTAGGATGTAGACTGTAAAAATGGCAAGAGAAGACAGGTATGTGGCATACCCATGGAATGGGGAACACAGGCAAAAGGATTCTTAGGAGTTTGAGACCAGCCTAGACTACATAGCTAGACCCTATCTCAAAACCAAGAATGAAAACAAAAAGTACAAAGGCAAGTTCTAGGGAGGACACAGAGAAAGAGGAGCTCTTTTGCAAACTATGATTTATTCTTACTTTTAAAATTTTGTTGTGTTGGGGGTCCACATGATTGCAAGTGCGTGAGGAGGCCAAAAGAGGGCATCAGATACCCTTGAGTGGTTGTGTTTCCCAATGGAAGTTCTAGGAATAAAACTCAGTCCCCCTGGTACAGCAGGAGCTCTTAAAGGCTGGGCCATTTTTCCAGCCCAAGAGGACCTCTTTGTTTTATTTTTTGTTTTGTGTTTTTCAAGACAGGGTCCTCTATGTAGATCAGGCTGGCCTTCAACTCAAAGATCCACCTGCCTCTGCCTCCCAAGTGCTAGGATTAAAGGCGTGTACCACCCCCACCCAGGCCAATAGGTCTGTTAGCTGGAATATAAATTAGTACAACCAATACATCCCTCTTGGATGGTATATGTCCAAAAGATATATCATCTCTAAGTTCAAAACAAACTTGGGTTACATGAGATCCTGTCTCAAGAAAAGTAAAATATACCAAAAAAAAAAAAAAGCACCTTAAACATGATTTTTATCAATTACACTTCAAATGCTGAAATTAAAAGGGAAATTATAGTCTGTGTACAGTAACACATGTATGACTTTAATCTGAGCTCTTAGGAGGCAAAGGTAGGCAGATTACTATGAGTCTGAGGCTAAGATAGGTCTAGTGAATTCCAAAAAACAAAAATTTTAAAAGAAATTTGCAAATATGGACAAACCTTAAAGACATTGCACTTAAGTGGAGTATAGTAAGCAAGTCACATAAGCACAAATGTTACATGACTCTGCATATGTGAAGTTATAATTCAAATACACAGAAAAAATAGAATTGTGGTTGCAGGGAAGAAACACAGGACCATTATAATAACAGGTGCAGCCATGCAGTGGTGGCACACATCTTTATTCCCAGCACTCAGAGGCAGAGGCAGGCGGATCTCTGTGAGTTGTAGACCAGCCTGGTCTACAGAGTAAGTACCTGGATAGGCTCCAAAGCTACAGAGAAACCCTGTCTCAAAACACACACACACACACACACACACACACACACACACACACACACAGACACACACAGACACAGGTGCAGTTCTGGGGTATATTATATGAAAATAATTCTAAAATTGACTGATAACTTTATAATAACGCGAACATACAATGTCACTGAAATATACACTGTAAATTATTAAGGCAGTAATTTTTATGTCTATTTTACTACAACTTTTAAACTAAATCTGCCAATGGGGTTTTTCTGAGCTTAATTATATTTGTTTCTATTTAAAAAAAAAAAGTTTACAAAGAATGAAAAGGTAAATCACATACTGGAAATTCTTCTTTACAAAGCAGTATCTGATAATTTGTATCCAGCATAAAATCATCCAAATAATAAGACAAATACAAGTCTTGCAAGGGAATTTTAGAGTATGGTTAATGGTAGAGTACTTGTGTAGCATGCAAGAACACCCTAGCTTTGATACTACTGAGCATTGCAAACAAATGATCAAACAGATCTGACCACTTTGACATGAACGGAAATCATTAGGTATTAGGAAACACATATCAAAACTACAATGAGATACTATTGAATACTTATCAGGACACCAACAATAGAACTCAAGATATCAGCTCAAGTGGGAAAGCATTTGCCTATCATGTTAGGTCCTATCCTCAGCTGGGGAGGAGCACCAACCAGCTAAGAGAGGATGCACAACTGAGTCTTTCACATCCTGATGGGAGGTGAATGGCAGTGCCATGTTGGAAACAGTGTAGCAAAGACACATAGACAAATGAAATAGAACAGAGGATCCAGAAATAAACCCATGCACCAATCTTTGACAAAGTTATCAACATATGCATTGGAGAAAAGATGGCCTTTTCAAAATACGGTACTGATGATAGCCTGTAGAAAAATGAAACAAGATCCACCTCTCACCCTGCACAAACATCAATTCAAAATAGATCAAAGACTTTAATGTTGGACCTGCAACTGAAACTGCTAAAGAAACACAGGGGAAAAACTTAAAGTACAGGCATAGACAAGGACTTTCTGGAAAGGACTCCTACAGCACAGGAAATAACCCCCAAAATTGACAGACAGAATCGCACAAAATTAAAAGGTCTCTGCCCAGCAAAGGAAAAAGCATCAGCAGAGAGCCCACAGAATGAATACCTTTGCCAAGAATACATCTGACAGTGCATTATCAAAGTCTCAAAAAAATTCATGAAAATATTTTTTGAAGAACTAGAACTGGTCAATAAGGATACATGCCCCTTTAAAAATCTGCCTTGAAGTAAGGTGGTAGTGGCACATGCCTTTAATCCCAGCACTTGAGAGGCAAATGGGTCTCTGTGAGCTCAAGGTTTACAGAGTGAGTTCCAGCCTATGTAGAGAATCTCAAAAAAAAAAAAAAAAAAGTCTGCTTTGCAAGTCCATCTTACCCAAATCAAAACAGCTATCATCAGGAAAACAAATGACAATAAATGCTGGTGAGAATGTGGGGAAAGAGAAACACAGCTAGTGGGATCAGAAACTGGTGTAGTCACTATGGAAAGCAGTATGAAGACGCCTCAGAGAGCTAAAAATTCAACTGTTGGGACTAGAGAGGCAGCTCCATAGTTACATAGACTTGCTGCTGTCCCAAAGGACCAGAGTTTGGTTCCTGGCACCTATAACTCCAGCTCCAAGGAATCCGATGTTCCCTGACCTCCTTAAGGCACACACATACACACATCTGCCACTCACTCACACACATAATAAAACTTTTAAAAGTACAACGATCATAAAAAAAAAAAAAACAGCTACACTAACTCTTGGATATATACTGGAAGGAATCCAATCAGCATAGCACAGGGGTATCTGCACATTCATGTTCATTGCTATATTGTTTACAACAGACAAGGAACTATCCAAAATGTTCATCAACAGATGATTGTGTGTGTGTCGTGTTTATCAAAATAAAATCCAAAGAATTTTAAAAGTAAACTTAAAATGTACACTATAGCTCAAAAGATGTCTCAGCAGTTACGAGTACTTGCTGCTTTTTGCAGCAGACCCAAGTTCAGTTCCCAGAATCCACACATTGGCTCACAACCAAGTGCCTGTAATTTAGTCCCATGGAATCTGACCTTTTTTGGCCTTTGTGGGCACCAAGCCATGCATATGGTATACAGACATACATGCAGGCAAAATAATGATTTGTTTTAATGAACAGTAAATGAAAAAGAAATTTAGCAGTTTCTTAGAATGTCAATCATATGCCTACCATATATTCCAGCATTCCCAGTCTAGGTACTAATGCCAAAGAAATGAAAACAGTCTCACTCAAGTTCTTATAGCAGCTTTATTCATAACTTCCTCAACTGTAAAGAATGTCTTCCAACTTGGGATTAAATAAGCAGTAGTACATCCACACAATGGAGTATGAAATAGAAATCAGAACTATTGATACACCTAGTGATACAGATCTCAAATCTATAATTCACAGCAAGTTATTCTCAAAAGTTACATACTGTTCAATTCCACTTACAACTCTTTACGAGACGAGGCAGAAAGTGAAAGCACATGTCAGTGATTGCCATGGGTTAGGTCCAGAGAACAAGATTTGATATCACAACAGGAGATGATGGGAGAGGCTAATAGAATCCTTCTGTTCTTGTGTTCATGGTTACTCATCTTTAGCCATTCATCATGGCTTATGCAACTGTATTTTACTCAAATGTAAAGTTTCAAAGTACAAAGCTAAAAGCCTAATGGCATAAAATAAGCTCCTGTGTGACTTATAATGTTCATACTAAGGAACAGGAAAAAGATCAATGCTTGCTAGGATCTGAGGATGGGGGCAGAGCTATATTACAAGGAGATATGTTAAGTTTGGGGAGAATACCAAAAAAAATCTGTATACTTTTTTTCTGTTGTTGTTGTTGTTGTGCTTGTTTTTCAAGACAGGGTTTCTCTGTGTCTTGGCTGTCCAGGACCAAGCGGGCCTCAAACTGCCTGTCTCTGCCTGAGTGCTGGGAATAAAGGTGTGCACCACCTCTACCTGGCTAAAAATTCTATATCTTGATAATGGTTGTAGCCCACCCCTGTTAACAAGTGTCCTAACTTACAGAAGTTAAAATTATAAAGGATGAAATTTATTATAGAAAAATTATTTTTTCAAAGGAGAATAAAGATGCAAGAAATCACTTTAAGAATTCAGACCCAACCAGACATGATGGCAAACTTCTGTAATCCCAGTACCTGGGAAACTAATCAGAAGGCTCGGGAGTTCAAGACCACGCTGGGTTACATGTAGCCTTATGATACATTAGAGTTAGAGTACTATTATTGTTTTGCTTTGAGACAGACTCTTACTTTGCAGTCTAGGCTGGACTCAGATTCACAGCCATCTTCCTGCCTCAGCATCCTGAGTGCTGTGATTATTGGTGTGAACCACTCACCTGGTTAGAGTCTGAAATTCTTATCCTAACATGATTATTTTAGTTCTCTTTTATTTTGGCTAGATTATATTCCCAAGGGTCTAGATGCTTATATTTCTAATACATTATTATCTACCAAAAATTCAATGGCATCAGAGAATTAAGTTGAACATCATTTAAGAGACTTGAAAAGCATAGTTTTCATAAAATACTACCAGCTTTTAAAAATCCATTTAGAAGGACTGACAACAGAAAACACTACAAAGTAGATGCCTGACCAGTGCTTTGTGTTGAGAAGAAATACGTTACAGAACAAAAGGCTAGCATATTATTTAATTGCACTCGTTTTAAAGCTAGCACAATGCCATTAAACGTTGTTGTGAGCACACTGTCAGCTTTCTGAACCCTACCCCTTCCAGGTAGGGATGGATATATTGAAGGCTAAAGGATCTAAATTGATTCTCCAAGTTTTGTAGTTCATGATCAACCAGTACCTAACTCTGTCTAGAAAATAACAGTACGGTACACATTCCCTGAACATCCTGCAGCCAATGGCTTTCAAACTTCCTATGATACATATATGCTATTCTAGAATCATCAGTCCTTGTCCCTATCCCCAGACACTTCCAGGGATATACAAGACTCACCACTGTGCTTCTCTACCCCTATGTTACCCAGTTAAAGGCCTACCTACTGAATTGGAAAACACGGAGCCAAGAGCCTTAGGAATACCCAGGCGCTGAGGTCTTGTGGTGTGACAGAAACAAAAAGAATCACCTGTCCAGAGACAACCCCACCACCACTGACTGTCACCAGGTTTCTCAGCAGTCCATCATTTAGAACATTCACCTGTCCAAGAGGTCAACCCGTATCAGCCTAACCCACAGGGTGGGACACAGGAATTAAGAGTACAGGGTACATTGCTAGCACTTGGACTTGGCTTATTTGTATTTTTAATAATTACAATTTTATTTATTTACTTATTGGTTTTTCAGAACCAGGCACCCTAGAACTCAGAGATTTGCCTATCTCTGTCTCCTAAGTGCTTGGATTAAAGGCATGCACCACCACTGCCCCAGCTCTACTCATTTGTTTTTGGTTGTTTGTTTTTGTTGAGAAAGGGTCTTGCCAGATAGTTCAGGCTGTCCTACAAACTGCAATCGTCCTAGCTCCAGTCTCCAAGTGTCAGTATTACAGGTATGTAGCTACCATGCCAAGACTGCTGATTTTATCTTATAAAACACAGTGGGAGCTGGGAGTGGTGGCAAAAGCCTGTAATCCCACTACTTGGGATGCCGAATAAGCAGAATGGGATCCTTAGCAAGAATCTTTCTCCAATGATAATAGTGGATGATGGTAATGATTGTAATAATAATACAGCTTAGTAATAGAATGTTTGTCTAACATGTGTAAGGACCTATTAGGTTCAATCCTTGGCACCACAAAAACAAACAAAAAATCATTTTCAAAGGGAGTAAGAATTAAGTGGAGGGCACTGGGGTTTGGTAGCTCCAGACTTTTGAGACTCTGAACTGATGACAATGGAGAGCAATGGTATGGGAGGTGTTCTTCTATATATAGGTTCATCAGGGATAACTGAATGCCATCTGTATTCCCCCATCCCATAGGAATCAGTGCTTGCAGTATGAGGGGAAGATCAGCTGATCAGTCACCAGCAGTGTCATCGCAGTTGCCAGAGAGGTCGAGGATAGACATCATGGAATCAGACAACTTATTGGCGAGTTTATCTGTAGATGGAAAAATACAGGCAATCTTTGAGTGGTTGGCTTGGCCAACAGAAGGTCTGTCACAGCCAGCTTATCACTACCTTGGCCTATACCAACCTTCCAACTGGCTCAGTTACCCATCTAACCATTCAGTAAAACCGATGGGCCTTTAAAACTGTCACACAACCTCACAGGTACATCCATTCACTATGAAGTGATCACCCCAACATAGCTTCATCTCAGAGTTTCAGACTCACAGGATTCCAAGTATTTCTGTGTCTAAGTACCAAAATAGTAACTCCCTTCTACTGTGTGAAATTAGCACTCCTCCATTACCCCTAGCCATCCCCAAACAAGCATGCACAGCAAAGGAATTCAAAGTACTAGCTTTGAGCCTAGATGCTCACCACTCACAGCTCTCATTCTCCAGATACACTTGTTCCTCAGGGTCCCGAGACTTCTCCAGGAAGCCTCTGGTGAGCTAAGCTCCCTCAGAGTAATCATGCGACACTGTCAGTGTGTTTTGTCTCCCCTCTACTCCCTAACAAGACTTGGAATTTAAGGGCTAATCCCTCTATGGATTCCCAGGACTCAGTGTAGAGCCAGAATAAGACACCCATACAATACGTCCAAGTTAAAAAGAGTAGACATCCCAAAAATCAATCAACCTTACTTACATTACTATTTTGTTGAGTTTTTCTTTTGTTTGGAGACAGGGTTTCTGTGTGTAACAGCTCTGACTGTCCTGGAACTCACTCTGTAGACCAAGATGGCCTCGAACTCACTGAGATCCGCATGCCTCTGTCTCCCAAGTGTTGCGATTAAAGGCGTGAGCCACCACCACCTAGCTACCACAGATACCACAGAGCATACTTACCTTTATAAATTCACTGAAAAACTGTTTTCTCACTTTTTGGTATCCATAGGGGATAGCAAACCCTCAGCTTTACTAAAAATGATATAATATCTTCATATAACCTGCACACATCCCCCTGCATGTAGAGATCTCTTCTATTCAATCCAATACAAATACTATGAAACGGCTGCTATACTGTGTTGTTCAAGAAATAGTGACAAGAAACATAGCCTGCACCTACTTTAACTTTAAAATTTTATTTAGTCAGGCATAGTGGTACAAGCCACTATCTGTGGTGGGGCTACTTCAGATGGATGGATGGATGGATGGATGGATGGATGGATGGATGGATGGATGGATGGATGGATAGATAGATACATAGGTAGACAGACAGACAGACATCCTGAATGAGTCAGGTACACAAAGGATCACCATTTATACAAAGAGAATAAATAATAAATTCTTTTGTGTCCTGATGTGGAGATAATCCTAAGACAAAGAATGGAGAAATTGTGAGGCAAAAAATATGCTCAGTGGCAAGCATTGGTGTGGAAAAGAAAACACAGAATGGAAGGCTTCGGTTTACATCTCTCTTAAGAAGGGCAAGAAATTAGCCAGGTTGTGGTGGTGCATGCCTTTGATCCCAGCACTCAGGAGACAGAAGCAGATAGATCTCTGTGAGTTCAAAGCCAGCCTGGTTTACAGGCCAGTCTGGTGAGCTCCAGGACAGCCAGCGCTACACAGAAAAACTCTGTCTCAAAAATAAAGGAAGGAAGGAAAGGAAGGAAAGAAAGGAAGGAGGGAGGGAGGAAGGGAAACAGGGAGGGAGGGAATACCAAGAAATTAACCAGCTGCCTATGGTAGGAAGCCTTAAAGAGATTTTACTTTGTGTCCCCTAGGGTTTCAGATGCACTTCCTACTGATGCAGAAAAATGATAATACCCATTCTACTTAACACACAGAAAACACCCAAGAAATGTGGAACATGATATACCACAAGGTCAGTGGTTCTAAGAGTGTGAACTGCAGAAATCTGCTTTAATAAACCCTCCAGATAACATCAATGCAAGTTAGATTATTTTTTTCCGAGATAAGATTTCTCTGTAGCTTTGGAGCCTGTCCTGGAATTCATTCTGTAAACCAGTCTACCCTCAAATTCACAGAGATCCGCCTGTTGCTGCCTCCCAGGTGCTGGAATTAAAAGTGTGCAACACCACCATCCATCTGCAAGCTAGAATTCTGAGACCCACATGCCAGTCCATGCATTTCCTAACCCCAAGTATTCTGTGGAGGAAGACATATGTGGAGATGTATATCCAAGAAGACTTGAATCCTGCCCCAGCCAGGCATTTTCAGAGCATAGGAATGGTCAGCTACCCCTACCTGAACGCTTTTGCAATTTTTTCTTATTCTTCAAGGCAGATGCCAAAGCCTGGCCTTGTTGAAGTGGGTCTGTCTCCAGGATCCTCTGCAACATCGGGCGGCGGTCCACTGAACTGACATCCACTATACGATTGTTTTGGGGGCAATGGTGGTCCACATTGCGTTTAGCCCACCCCATCTGTTGACGGTTTGGATTGGTACAATACCCAGTAAGGTTTCCAATCTGGGGAGAAAAAGAATAACAATGGGAGTCCTGATCTCCAAACACTTCTACAGAGAAACAAAGGCTAGGCTTGAGTCAGAAGGAATTTGGAGCTAGTTATGGCTCCACTCTATCCTAACTGGTGAGACTCAATTGTACATCTGTCAAATAGGAATAAACACTGGATAGTTTGCACAACTTTTACAAGAATAATTTGAAAGAGAAAAGGAAGCAATAGTAGCTTACACCTACAATCTAGCGGTCAAGAGGCTGAGGCAGGATTTCCATAAGTGTAAGGTCAGTCTGGACTACATGCTTGAGTTGTATGTTAGCTGAGCCACAGAGTAAGACTCAGTCTCAAAACAACAAAAAGATAGTAATTACTTCATTAGTGACAATTGATGTTATAATGATCCCTTCTTGAAATAACCCTTCAAGGCCTTACTCAGCTAGCATTTTTTTTTTCCAAGACAGTTTCTCTGCGTAGTTCTGGCTGTCCTGGAACTCACTCTATAGACCAGGCTGGTATCAAACTCACACAGATCTTCCTGCCTCTGCCTCCCCAGTGCTGGGATTAAAGGCATGCACCACCACGGCCCAGCTACAGCTAGTATTTTTAACACCTACTTCATGCTATGTGGGGCAATCCTGGGAACAAAGAAATCTTGGTCCTACCTTCAGTAAGAAAGCATGGTAGACCTACTTCAGAGCATGTTGTCTACCCATGGGGCAGAATATCTATGTGGCAGGTACATGTGAGCAGTAAATGCAAATATTAACAGAGCATTTACTATATATATATATATATATATATGCATCATGGACCAATCTAATATACAAATACACAACTACCTATGGAAATGTGTACTCACACAAACATGGTTCAGGCAACAATGGACCATATATGTTATGGTGGCCTGCCATAAACATCTTAGTTTATGTAAGTACACTCTAGGATATTTCCACAATGAAGATCCTATCAAGGTAAGCATAGTAGCATACTCATAATCTCAGCACTCAGGAGGTAGAGGCAGGGAGAACAGGAGTTCATAGCCAATTTCAGTGACAATGAATTTACAGGTAGCTAGGTAGCTACCTGTAGCTAGTCCATAAGACTATCTGAAAAACCATATAACACTGTACTCCTTAGAACATAGCCTCACTGTTAAGCAGCACTACATGCCTTCATTAACTCCTTTGGTATGCATTAACTAACTGAATTCCTGTAAGAGTGGACAGGAAGTGTATCTAAGCCCTTGAATTAATTTCCCCGCCTTATAATAGGGAAAAGGTAAGATGGGGTGGGTTTGAGCAAAGCTACTAAGGTTAGTGACAGATGCCATCCATTCACTACACAGTATGCCTGTATAGCATTTCTTGGGAGTTGTGTAGCAAAGTGGCCTGCTGAGAGCTCTGGATTGAGTCTGCAACTTGTAGCACAAAATGGGGGGGTCTACTGTCACTTTCTAAAAAATACACTATGTCCAAGGACTTATGGCTCAGTGGAAAATATTATTTTGGAAGCTAGGTAGCCTTAAACAGACACGTTTATAGATTTTTTTCTTTAGGCAACAGGAAACTTCTAGTACCATGTGAAGATGGGAATAGTGTGATTCCTGCCATTGCGCAAGTTCAGACCTTAACCTTCTACTACATATTGATTAAAGGTGTCTTTCCTCCCTGTGCAACCTGAACCCCTTTCTTTCTGAATGACTATCCTCATTAGCATGGCAACAAGACATTTTTGTTAATAAATCTTTTCAGATATTACATCCCCATGAAATAAAGGACAGCTCTTAAAGTAATCATGTGACACAATCTCTAAACAAATTTATAAGTGAAATCAGCACAGAACAATAGGAAAAGCATCCTCTATTTTAATTAAAATAGTTACCAGTGGCTCACTGGTAAAGGGCTTGCCCAGCATAGATGCTTTAGCCCAGAATTCAGCCTTCAAGATGCAGCTTAAAAGTTCCTCAACCAACTAACTAGTAGTATGGTTTAGGACACTTAGATACAGGCTGTTGTCTTATTATCACCTGCCCCAATCACTCTTCCTATGTGTCTGACTAGAAAATAAAAAGTACCTGGGAAAACACCCAGAGTCATATGATGCATTGAAGATCTTGTACAGCAAGCCACAGAAAAGTGTCTAAATGTGACAGGGTCAGACTAAGCGATTAGGAATCACAGAATAGCCAGGCATGATGATGCATGCCTGTAATCTAAGCATTGGACAACTGAAAGGCAGGAGGATCAGGTGTTCAAAGCCAGCCTTAGCTACATGAGACCCTGTCTCAAATAGCAATAAAAGAAACTATGAAGAATATATCCTGATAAGCTGAGGATTAGAAGCACTCTCTAAGAATATAGGAATCACAGAGATGAGAAATTCTGACCAGATCTTAAGAAAGGGGATTTGGTGACTAACAGTGTATGGGACTCTGGACACTAGCCAAGGGAAGGAGAGTCATCTGCTAATTGAATAATTGGGTGACTAAGATGGTGACACCTGTTCTATGGACTGGAACCAGGGCTGGGAAAGCTGCTTGAAAGAGTCCCTTAGACATGTCACTATCTGGCAAAGTACACACCAAGCCAAGCATTCACAAGTCCACAGGAAGTATGTGAGCCACTCAGACCTCACTACCGTAGGAGAGAGATGTAGAAGGAAGTGCTTCCCAGAACCCTGTGCAGGAGACAGCTACCATGAGGATATAGAGAGGTACCTTATATACGGTGGTTTTATTTTCAATGGCATCTGCTATTTTCACCAGCGGAGAATGCAGCCACTTAGCATCCATTTCTTGTGGGTCCATGTCACCCAACAGCTCATCGGATTCTCCCACGGCCAAGCCTTTAAACACAAACATCACTGTTAGGATGCTGGCTTGCACTTGCTGCCAGCCCTCTCATCAGGCCTCAGTACAAAGAACATGAGGGTCCCATCAGGGGAGTGAGGGAGAAGAGAGGTTGCTTCTGCTGAGAGGCTACATAACAAAGATTGAAAACCATGAATACTAATCCAGGTGAGGCATGCCTTTAATCCCAGCACTTGGGAGGGTAGTAAAACAGGAGGATTAGGAGTTCAAGACCAGCCTGGGCTATATATGGAGACCCTGTCTCAAAATAAAAACAAAAGCATGAATATTATAGGACAATCACCTGCCGGGAGTTAGCTTAAAGCTTCAGCTTCCTCGTGTCAGAAAAGGGAATTCAATAACTCTTATTCATAAGATTAAGGTAAAATCCAGCAGAGGGAACCTATTGTACTCTAGCTCAAATGTGATGAAGAGAACCATGAGGATTCCCTTCCTAGGACCAAGTCTCTCTCCTCCTACCTCTTGCCCCCTCTGCCTGGAACTGGCCTCCACCAAAACTCTCATACATGTTACTCACTTCAATGAATGTCCTAATTCCTACTCACTCTTCAAGGCCCAGCACTAGGACCAGCTCCTCCAAATGTTTTTTAGCCCGAACCTCTTCTCCCACTTTCATCTCAACTCCCTATAGTGTGATGACACTCCTCTTGCCCATACATATCCAGCCAGGGTCAAGCATCTTCATTAGAACATGAGTTCAAATTCCTCTCAACTGCCCACTTGACAGAATCAGAAATTAAAGTTCAGCAAGAGGGCTGACTTGCCGGAAGCCATACATGGAATAAACTAGAAAGCAGGCAAGTCTTCTTGTTCTCATTTGTAATCAAGGATCCAGAGAAGGAAATGATTGGCCTTCAAGAGAAACAGAAAGACTTTAGGCCAAACAGAGCTTTCTCAACTGTTCCCACGTGTGTGACCAGAGAGCCCTGGGCGGAATAGAGGATGAAGTAGCAACCACAGGCCAGGGCTACAAATAGTGTCTAAGAGCAGAAACCTACTCACCAGTTTTGGAAAGTAATACCTCCATAAATCCCAGAGAGCATTTAAGAGCATGATTTACTATACACCAGGCTCTACTGCTCTATGCTGAGGGTCAAACGACAGTCTTATAAATGCTAAGCATGAGCTGTACCTCTGACCTATATTTCTGGTCCTCTTTTACAAGTTAAGTAAATCTACACAATACTCTAAAGGAATGGTTGCTACTGTTCTCATTTTATTGAGGAGTAAAATTAACAGACTTGTTCAGTATCATATAGCTAATGAGTAATAAAACTACACCCAGTAAATATGATCTTTTTTAACTCAGATATCTCACTAGCCAATGTAGTTAATAGAAAACTTAAGAATGCTGAGAAGATCCTAGGGCAGCCAGGTATAGTGACATATACCTGGGAACCTGATGCAACAGAATTATCTAAAGTTCAAAGCCAGCCTAGGCTACACAGTGATCACATCAGTCAAGTCTATATAGTAAAATCCTATCTAAAAAGGCCTAGGCAATAGGAAGCAGGAGGATAGGGAGAAGGACCATGGTCCTTTGATTTGGTTGGGATTATGGAAATATACACAACCAAGAAAGAATTTTTGAGCCTTTAATCTAGCACTCGGGAAGGAGGAAGAGGTAGTCATATCTCTGAGTACATGGCCAGCCTGGTCTACATAATGAATTACAGGTCAGCCAAGGGATACATAGTGCAACCCTGTCTCAAAAACACACGCACACCCACCACACCCTTCGACACTTACACACACACACACACACACACACACACACACACACACACACACAAAGAGCTTTTTAAAGGGATACTTAAACCCAAAAGAAAGAATGGAGTCTCGCATCAAAAAAACATAAAGGAGTACCAGTTAGTCAGGCAATCTACCAAATGTTCACCACCACTCTACCCTCATGCCCAAACAAAAATTCTCTACCTTACAGGAAGATAAATAAAATTTAATACCAAGTCCCAAGTAGCCCCAGGAAAGGAGAGATCAAATGTGTGATCTGACATCAGGTCTGGGTTCTATTAGAACAAAACCAGTTGCCCTACCCATCCACACTTACATTCCATGGTGTCTTCGTTGGCCTGCTCAGTATCTTCAATATCAAAGACCTCAGTCATCTCCTTAACAATCTCAGCACTGAGATGGGTGGGCAGAGTGTGAGTAGGTGGTGGTGGTATATAGAAGCTGATCTTCCCACTGGATTGGGAGAGAAGGGGAGGTCAGTGGTGATGTCACTGAGAACAAATAACTTATCAAAGGAGGTAGGACAAGAAAATCTAGACAATGGCTTTCCGAACATGTTCAACTGTTCAATAACCACCAGGCAGAGAGTACTGAGAAAGGCATGACTAGTTCTTCGGCTGTCTTCCTACCTTGGGACCCAGGAAGTCAAGCTGTCCCATTGTACCTCCTACTCAACTCCTTCCTCACCTCACCCAGTCAGCCAGGACAGCTTTGGCAGCCTGCTCTCGACTATATACACCTCCCTTCTTCTTCTTTCCCAAGCGCTGGGCCACTGCAGTCAAAAAGTGCTCAGTAGTCTGGAATCCAGAAACACCGTAATAGTTGGAAATCTAACAAAAATGAAGGAGAAAGGTCGTGAGAACAATGAAGGACCTTTGTAGTAGTGGGATAGGGAGGACATCTACTGTGGACCCTGCTCTGTACCTCCTCTAGGTTGCAGCGCTGAAGAATGGTCTCCACCGGAGTCACAGGGTCTGCCAGCTTCTGCACATGGACGCAATTACGCAGGATGGTGCCCACCTCTGAATTGGGTCCTGGAACAATACCTGGAGCATCCAGCAGTCTGATGAACTTGTCTAAGAAGACCTCCTGCATGAATCTGGAGAGAAGAAAACAAGGCCCAGCTGCATCTGATATCTAGTCACAAATGTTGGGTCTGGAGATGTTGGAGGGAGGTTAAAAAAAAAGAAGAGGGGAAGATGTATCTTAAGTGAGGTGGAAAGATGTAGGTCTAGGGGTAGGGTAGCACCCCTACAGCACCAGTCTCTTTCCCTGGGGTCTTAGCTGCGGCATCTCAGGCAAGTTTCTGTCTCTCTGGGTCTCAGTTGCTTCATCTAAGCAACAGAACCATTTTCAGTTGTTATGAAGGACCCAGCAGCCCACACCTGGGACAGGCCAGGTAAATGTGGGCTATTAATAGGATTCCTAAACCCAGGGTATGAATGAGAGGATGGTCCACAATTAGCAAAGGGCAGGGCAAAAAGGCATGTGAGCTTTGACGGGATGGTAGTGTCAAGGGTTTGTGAAGTGGGGAAGTGGGCAGCTCTTACTTTGTGACACCAGGAACAGCTCCCACACTACAGGCACGGCTGCGCTTCAGGCTATTGATCAGACTGCTCTTCCCCACATTGGGAAGGCCTGCAAAGAGGAGCAAAATACTCAGGCAGGAAATGCTCACAGGAATCCAGGCCAGCCTGCTTAAGAAAGGGCCAAGGAACAGGCAGTAACCAGGTCATGGACAAGCCAAAAGTAGAGCCTGGCTTCCTGTCTGCCCATCCCAGACCCCAGCCAAGCCTCTACGGGCATCTTTCTAGATCTCTCCTCCTTTTGTCAGCATTCTGGGAATACAGGGCCCTTTCTAGATGTGCAGTCCACCTCCCACCACAACCAGCCTAGAGAGGAGCTCCAGAAAAGGCCTCATAGACATAACCCAGCAGGAGGTGGGGTCAAGGGTTGAAACACACCCACCTGTTCTGACATGGAATTCCCCGGGAAAGAAGAGATTACTCTCCAGATGCCCCTCTCTA